ACGAAAGATGAGAGCAGCTACTCGACTGCGGCATGTACCAAACCTGTACAGCCTCTACATGGTACCTTGCTTGTGGGTTTAGGGTTTAGGGTTTAGGGTTTAGGGTTTAGGGTTTAGGGTTTAGGGTTTTATGAAGGCAATGCTACTGGGGAACCTAGAGTGGGTTAGCGCTCGAGGTCGGAAGGCTGCGGCTTCGGAGCTCACTGACACACTGGGAGTTTCCGACAACAAGGGGTACCTTACTTTGGGGTCCTTATAAGGATCCTACTATTTAGGGCATCATATTGGGGTCCGTATATAATAAGGATCCCACTAACTATTTAGGGTATCATATTACGGTCCCTAGGTTTCGGAAACCCCTAAGTGGCAATCAAGTTATTGGGTACTGGCGAAATCGGCGGCAAGATAAAGGTTGATGACAGTTGACATGGCGTAGGGTAAAGGGTTTGGGTTTAGGGTTTAGGGTTTAGGGTTTAGGGTTTAGGGTTTAGGGTTTAGGGTTTAGGGTTCATGTTCCCCAGCCTCCCTGGAGTAGCAGCAGCAATAGCAGCGATAGCGCAATCAAGACTCCTAAACCCCGCAGCTAAAAGGACTGACCCGAAACACCCTAAACAATCCCTAAAACCCCTACATCGTAAACCCTAAAACCCTGAACCCCAGCGTAAACTCCCAATCATCGCCTTCGTTAACCTGCGTTCTCGCCGCTCGTTGGAGGAAGCGTTGAAGGAAGTCCACCTTGGAGACGACAGCAGCCGTAATAACTAATGTAGGGACCTTAATAATAGAGAGGGAAACCCAGAGAGGGAATAGGGATTTGGGGTTTAGTATACTAAATCATACTAGGGAACCCCAAACTGGTATAGGCAATTATAAAGACCCCTATAGTAGATTAAACCGTGGTGGGTTCTCAACAGGAATCCCGAAAACCGTAACTCACGAAAACCCGAAACCGGCCGAATAGTTCGGGAAAGGCACTTTTGAGCAGAAGCCGTGGCTAAGAGGCAGCTGATGCTCTGCCTGTGCGGGTCCGAAGCCGCGGAGGTTTGATGTTACGGTGCCGAAAAGCAGGCTAGCCCCTGATCGAATCCATGCAACCACGCCCCAAAGAGTGACATGTTCAACTTGAGTGAAACCAGCCAAAATTAGTAAACACTCAACAGGAGAAGCCCCCAAATAAGTCCGAACACCCAAGTACGATACCTTTCAAAACCAGGTAAGACACACACACACACAAAGCAACAATAGCAACCTATAACATGCCTCGAAAGGTATACCTTTGCCTCCACATGCCGCGCCAGGGCTCTGAAGCCACTCAGCGATTTTCTCTTCTGAGCCTGCCCGCAAGAATCTGAGGGCTGAGGTTTGGGGGTGGGCCAATGTAGGGGCCTTAATAATTAGAATGGGGTTTTGGGGGTTCCTTATTATAACTACCCCAAACCCTATTAAAATTATTAAAGCCCCTATCTTACCTGCAACCCTACACCCTCAACCCTGAATGAACTCCAAAGCCATAAACCCTAAATGGTCCTCAACCTGAAGGGAACTCGTTTGCACACCCTGTGCGGCGTAGTAGGGCTTAGGGCTTACGGTTTAGGGCCTATGAACTCTGGACTCGTATGCCGAGGCCAAAGGTATTATTTCTACCACTTACATCAGAACTAAAGGCACAAACCAACATCCACAACAGGGCACTGTACATGAGGCCCATGTGGTACCTCTGGGCTGCACGTCTGAATATGATAAGCATTCCGAAGAATCCCTCATTCACCAGAATCGTTCAACTCAGCCATAAACCTTGAATGAACCCAAACTTGCACCCTACACCCTAAGCCCTAAATCAACCCCCCCCCCCCGCCGCCAAACCCAAACCCCAAACCCTAAACCCTAAACCCTAAACCCTAAACCCTAAACCCTAAACCCCAAACCCTAAACCCCAAACCCTAAACCCTAAGCCCTAAAATAAGCCATGCTTCACTCGCCGTGGCATTCTCGGACGGTACAGCCTCGACTCAAATCTTCCAAACGCCCAAGGCTCCGTGCCCGATATAGCCTCCAGAAATCGGGCCGAACTTCTGGGAGTATGACTATGATGGTTTAGGGTTTAGGGTTTAGGGTTTAGGGTTTAGGACCCTAAACCCTAAACCCTTCAGCATGCTTTAGTATGTGTGGTATCCCGCAGGGGCCTGAGAAGCTTGAACTTCGCGGTCGCAGAACGGACATCGAAGCAGGAACCTGGAAATCGAAGTGGGGTTTGGGTTTAGGGTTTAGGGTTTAGAGTTTTGGGGCTTATAAGGTCTGCAAGTACATTCAATATAGGCTCCTTCACAATTAGAATAGGGTTTTGGGGCCCATGATAGTATGACTATAAGAAGGAGCCCCCAAAATAGTAGTGGTAATTATTTAGGCCCCTACACCCTAAACCTAGGCTGCACTTGGCATTCGAACCAGGTGTCTTGGGGCTTGCCCTTAACCCCCCCAAAACCGTGTGGTAGCAAACCTCAAAACGAAGCCTCCTCTTAGTTCCCCAGTAGCTCCTCAAGAATAAGGGTACCCTTTCTCCCGCTATTCGGCGGAGCCCACAAAGAAAAAGGGCAAAAGGGTATTACTGGGCAACCCTAAACCCTAAACCCTAAACCCAAGTAGCCGTCAGAGTAATCCTTTAAAGGCATCTTCGGGGCTATGGCCATGGGAGGGAGGGCTTTCTGGCTTGGACTTTGGACTGTGCCGTTTAGGGCTTGGGCTTAGGGTTTAGGGTTTAGGGTTTAGGGTTTAGGGTTTAGGGTTTAGGGTTTAGGGTTTAGGGTTTAGGGTTTAGGGTCTAGGGTTAGGGCTTGGGGCTTAAAGTGTAAGCCCTAAGCCCTAAGCCCTAAACCGCAAGAGGTGTTACAATTATGTCCGATCTGCCTGTTGTGTGTAGGACGCAGGGCTCCTGCTATGTTGGCCCGATTTTCAAGCAGCTTTGATTTGGGGTTTGGGCGTCCTGTCCTGCAAGAGTTTCGTTTTCGGGTTGTGGGCGTAGGCTTGAGGTTGAACTTATCGCCCAGATTGTAGGGATTCTTCTAATATCTGATTCAGGGCTGGGGTCGCCTAGTCAAGCCCTCCAAGACCAAGAAATCAAGCTCCAAGACACTAAAGCCGAAATCTCGAACAAACTAAAGCACAAACGCCCCCCAAACCTCATTGACCACTAGCACCCGCCTTCCGTTGGGAGCCATCTCTTCCGGAATCTTGACAGTCTCCCATACCTGTGTCAGAGTGCAGCTGAACCCGAAACCCAAACCCCTGCCCCAGCAACCTAAACCCTAAACCCTAAATCCAAAAGCCCTAAATTCCAAAACCAGGAATCCTGAGTACTACGCCCCCAACGCCCTAAACTCCAACACCTAAGCTTGAACCCCAAAGCCTATAAATCCCAAACCGCAACCCCCAAAACCCTCAAAACCCGAAACCTAAGCCCAAAAAACACAAAACCCTAAACCCCCAAAGCCCTTTCTTGCACCTAAGCCTAACCCTTTAGGGGGCTTCACGGCTTAAGGCTCAGATTGTAAAGGGGGTTACGGCTGGGGAGTTTCTACTCGGCTTCCTGTTCCTATAACCTATAACCCTAAACCCTAAACCTTAAACCATTAACCCTAAACCCTGAACCCTCAAACCTAAACCCTAAACCCTAAACCCTGAACCCTGAACCCTAAACCCTAAACCCTAAACCCTCTCTTACACGGTTTAACATAAGGTCTTCAGCGTCTCAAGGCTTTTAGGGACCCCGTCCCAAGTAGCCAATTCTTAAGAAGGGGACTCCAAGATAGACTCCCTAAACCCTAAACCCTAAACCCTAAACCCGAAACCCTACACCCTAAACCCAACACCCTTAACCCTACACCCTAAACCCTACACCCTAAGTCCGAAGAGCAGTGCCTGAAGACCTCGAAGACTTGAAGGATGGGCCTCTCGGAATTTATATCCTCTTGCATTCGTCTGGGTTTAGGGTTTAGGGTTTAGGGGTTTAGGGTTTAGGGTTTAGGGTTAGATTTTGTAGTTTTACAGGTTCGGGGTTTGAGGTTCTATAAGTTTTATTGCGGTTTTATACAAGAGCGACGCTTCAAGGTAGACCTTCGCCCGCTGAACAGCAAACCGTCAACCTAAACCCTGCCAGCTAAGCTTTCATCTTTAGTACATCCGATCCGTTGGGACCGCAGTGTTTTTCTTTCCTACCACTACGGCGGCCTTGCTACTACAAACATGGTTGGGGACCTTGGGGAGCAGTGCTACAAACGATTCAAGCCTCTAGATGACCTCCTTTGCGAGGTATTGATTGGAGGACTAGAATGCTTACACAAACACTTGGCTCAGAGTCCTTGTATACGGAGCTCTACGAAATCGATGTAGGAATTTGTCGGTACCAAAACCCTAAACTCTAGGTGTCCCTAAATCCAAAACCCCGGAACCTGTGTAGAGAGACCCTAAACCCTAAACCCTAAACCCTAAACCCTAAACCCAGAGCTGTCTGTTTGAGCAGAGCATCCGTCAGGAAATCCTCCGCCGGCTCGGGCCGCACCCACTGGGAGACCTGACTGCTTAGGGTTTAGGGTTTAGGGGTTTAGGGTTTAGGGAATTGCGCTAAAACTGAGGCCTTGTTAAAATTAAACGGGGCACATTTAACATCATGTTACATCTCCGGAGTCCTGACCCGAACTTAAACCCCAACCACCACACCCTGAAATCACATCCTATACTGAAACCTTGTATGGTAAACTTGAACCCGGAAGCACGGGGGTAATCGGGGCTATGGTAGGGTTGATGATACGGGATAAGCCAAGCTTTTAGGGTTTGGTTTAGGACCGTTTAAAATTCAATTTCTTTCCGCTTCGGTTTTAGGTTCTCGACTCTGCTCAGGGCTTATAAGGCGTAGGGCTTATAGGGTTTAGGGTACTTCGGGTTCGAGTCTCTGTTCATTCAGGGAGAAGGGATGCGGGTCTGGCGTCAGGCATCCTCCGATCGAAGGATCTGTTTTCTCTGAGGCGCCCGGCCTCATTGGGGTCTTTCTGCTGCCTCCAAAAGATCGACTGCGGTGAGCTCTGCTCACAGTCAACGAAGAAGTGGCCGCAAAGAAAGGTCCCTGCACAGGCTTGGGATAGATCCACGTGATTAGTGTTGTCTGCGCGTTTCTCTCTAAGGTTTCAGTGATATACTCTACACCCTACCCTAAAACCTCAACCCTCAACCCTCAACCCTAAACCCTAAACCCTACACACTAAACTCTAATCCCTAAGTACGACCTCAACCAGGGCGGTAAGCCCTGAGGCTTCCAAAGCCTACCGGAAACGTCAGAATTGGGCATTGACAGGTCAAGTTTCGGATGCATGTGGGTTTTTACGGTTTAGGGTTTAGGGTTTAGGGTTTAGGGTTTAGGGTTTAGGGGTTTTTACTCTGCTCTGATGTAGCTAAGGCTACTGTAAGGGGTATTCCTTAACACGTTTGCTCATATTGCTGGAGGATGTTTTCGAAACCTTCAATATTGTAACGTCCTCCCGAAATTAAAGGCCCCAAACCCCGAATGCTCTTGCTTGCAGCTTGAATCTTCAGGGCTTATATAGGCTATGAATCCTGCGAGATTGAACCGTCAACATTGATGAGCCCCCAATCCCTCCACCCAAAACCTATGCCTTCAGCGTCGCACTGAACATGACTCTTGGTCTTATCTGGGGTTTTTTCAAGGTAGAAAGCCATCTCCAACATGCTGACGTGGAGCAGCAGAAGGGACTGTCAAAAAAAACAACCATCCGTCATGAGAGTACTTGGGTTCAGTTAGGGATTTCCGAAAATAGGGGACCCTAATATAGTAACCTAGATCATAGGATCCTTATTATAAGGACCCCAAAATAAGGTACCCCTAAGGCCTAATTTTTGGAAACTCCCAGTTAGTGCTCTGAATTCCTGGCCCAGGTTCTGAAGCCGAAGCCACAAAGCAGCCAAGCGCGTTCCAAAGCTTCAGATTCCATATCATGTCTTGCACGTGCCCCAAGAACGAAAGTTCAGAAACTATGAACCCAAAAGAGAATACTAAATGACAGTTTAGGGTTTAGGGTTTAATGAACAATCGGAATGGTGGTTGAGGATATCGTTTCGGCAGCATGCGGGAGTCAGACTAGCAATGCACAGTTGTTTGTCTTCTTGTGATGATGGGCACCTCCGGACGCACAAACCTAACTGCTGTTGAAGATCCTTCAAACATTGCAGCTGGTGCTACTTCCTACATTTAGAGTTCAGGGTAAAAGACTATGGCCACTAAGCATCAGGGTATGTAGGTTACAGCAGGGGTCTTAGTATGATTGTTTTGAAGGGATGCCCTCTTTAAATCACCATACTTTTATCCTATAGTGACAAAGTCCTCTGATCCTCCATACAATGCCCCACATCCTAAATCCTAGCTTTGCGCACCCTGTACACCGAACTCCAAGAGGACCCTCGGGACATCTCACCTAAACCCTAAACATCTCGGGACCTCCTTCTAACTCGTGCACCACGAAGCGTCTGCCCCGCTTGTGCCCGCCTGCCGCCATCGGACAGGATCTTCGGGCTTCGGGATGTTGTGGGTTTTAAGGATTTAGGGTTTAGGGTTTAAGGATTTATGGTTTAGGGTTTAAGGATTTAGGGTTTAAGGATTTAGGGTTTAGGGTTTAAGGATTTTGGGTTCAGGGTTTAGTGTTCAGGGGTTTTGTGGGTTTCAGGATTTGTTGACGTCAAGTTTGTTGGTTAAACGATGCTCATCAGCGTCTTCTTCTACTTGCTTAACGATAGCTAGTGGGAATCTGGCATTCAAGGCGCGTACAACCACCTTCATGGAATTCCCGCACCCCGACAAGCCCCAAATCCGGCAAATGCCACTGTCATGACTAGGGTTTAGGGTTTAGGGTTTAGGGTTTAGGGTTTGTCATGACTCCACCAGCAAACATCCGACGGCCTAAGAGAACCTGGAAATGAGGGGTCTCGCTCGCTGGACTCCTCCTACGGCAATCGTAAGGATTGAAACCACGCGGCATCTGTAACGTAGGGGCCTCAATAATTAAAGTAGGGTTTTGGGGCCCCTTTATCCTAGCCACAATAAGGAAATATTTTGAATTATTCAGGCTTCTACATAAACCAGGCCGAAACCCGCCCCCCGAACCCCATAAGGTTGCGGACAGGGCTGCCCCGCGCCTAGGCGCCGCAGGAGTACTTCATATCCTCGAGGCGTCTGCGTCACCTGGCGAACGGCTTCGAAGGCTGAAGGCTTTGGGTGCTTAAGCTTGCAGTAAACACAAACCCTAAACCGCCAATGCTAAACGCAGATAAACCACAAGCCCACACGTGCTATGCCAATAGCATCCCAAAGTTGGAGGTAGCAAGAATGTTCCCGGATGGGTCGGCCAAACTTGGGGTTTAGGTAAAGTGAGATTGGCCAGGATTTTTTAGGACCGTGAAATCTGAGCTTGAAGCCGTACCAGATGGGCCTGAATACTTAGAATAGGGTCTTGGGGCCCGTTATACTATAAACATACCAAGGAATCCCCATTATTTAGGCCCCTACATTAGATGTAGTCAGTGCCTCGCAAGTTGCAAAAAGTGCAATCGAGGAACGCGTGGCATCGTCACCAAGGCCCAAACGGTCAGGTTTCCCCGGATACTTCCCACAACGACGGCAGCCATCAAAATAACAACGGTTTAGGGTTTAGGGTTTAGGGGAACAGAAACTCATTATTGTCACTGCTGCTATTCTGATTAGTATTACTACTATGAGAACTGACAGTACCTTTTTAGAGTACTATACCTTCTTCAGCTCCTCGTTGCTGCGGGAATCCCGCTCCGCGAGATGGGTGTCGTACGCGAAAAAGCCTAAAGTGGATGCTCCTGGTGAAACTGATGGACTGCCCGTGGTACTGCCTCCGAGGGCTTACTGCTTGAAGAGCTAGCAGGCAACCCTAAACCCTAAACCCTAAACCCCAAACCCTAAACCCTAAACCCTAAACCCTAAACCAGGTCCGTAGCTACGGCCGCACATCACTAATTGCAACTATGCCATTCAAAAGCTCAGCCTAGCAGGTTGGGGTTAGTGTCAGAGGCTTGGTGCTCAGGGTTTAAGGTGAATTTAACTAGGTTTAGGGTTTAGGGTTTAGGGGTTTGGGGGTTTAGGGTTCAGGGTTTAGGGGTTTAGGGTTTAGGGGTTTAGGGTTTAGGGTTTAGTGGTTTACGGTTTAGGGTATCTTTAGAAGCCTGAATGCTTACCAGAGTTTCGGAGGGCTTTGATACCACCAGAACCGCGGTAACCAAAACAGCTACACAGAAACCAGAAGGCCTTTTCAGAATCGAACGCCTATATTATAACCCATCAACCCTGAATCCTACACAGATGACCCCTAAACCCTAAACTGCAGGGTTTAAGGAGCTTCATCTAAAGAGGCCGAATCGTATGGGCTGCTTGAAACAGGCGTTACCTGTAGGGTTCGCAAGCGCCAATGATTGCAGGGAGCCTCGCAAAAACCTTCTAAGATAGGGGCCTTAATAATTAGAGTATGGTTTCTAGGGTTTAGGGTTTAGGGTTTAGGGTTTAGGGGCCATAAAAATTAGCCTAAGGTCTTTGTGTCCTTTATACTATAATCAGAATAAGGAACTCTCCCAAAATAGTATTGGAAACTAATTTAGGCCCCTATATTAAGCTTGTCGGCGCAGCCTGGATGTGGTTGCCACGCGAATCGCGCCATTCCCCTTGGCTCTGTGGTGTTATTCTTAAAGAGTTTAGACTGTTGTAAGTGCCGGCCTTACAAGACTTTCTACTTGAAGATCCCTAAGGTAGGGGTTCCTGATGAATGATCCGTGCCATGAGTTGAGGATATGAAAAAGAACTGACGAGCCTCTGGGCATGCTGCTAAAATCCAAACCCAAACTCATGCTGCAGGGGCTTCGGCTTCGAATGGCTCCCCTTATTATTGTCTAACCTTAGGCCTGAAACCGCAAGCACTAAACCTAAACCCTACACCCTATGAATCACGAACCCTACAGTAAGTCCTAGACGCTTGCTGTCCGGACCGATCCGTGCAGAAAGCATGGCTTTGAGCGATACTTCGGGGAAGATTGGATTTAGGGCTTCGGGTTTAGGCTACAATAAACCCTAAACGCCACACCCCAAAACCCTGACCCGTGCGTTAGGTTCCCGATTTTGCAGTGTCTTGTGTCGGCTGCAGTGGGGATCGACTCCAGGTACCAAGCCAGCCCGTTTAACCAGCAACCCGTGACAGCCGCAAGAACACATCTCTGGTGTGTCGAATGTTCTCCTAAACCCTAAAACCCTAAACCCGAAACCCTAAACCCTAAAACCTTAAAGCCCGAAACCCTAAACCCTAAAACCCTAAATCCCGAAACCCTAAACCCTACACCCCAAACCCTAAACGGACTTCCCCGGGGTAAACTCGCTGGCTGGAACTTCCGGCGACTTGCCGCGACTTAGAGCTGGCCCTCAGTACATGATGTACCGACACATACTATATACAACCGTTATAGGGTTTAGGGTTTAGGGTTATTGTTGCCATATGAGTAGTTTCTAAATTAGGGTCCCTGTTGGGGGTCCTTTTTTATAAGGGTGCCGTACTATATTGGGGACCTAAAAAGGGACCCTAATTCAGAGAACTACCCCATACAACAAGGCTCAACTCCATCACGTCTGGCACCCTGGGATGTTGGGTGCTCCTATGTGCTGCGCAGCACCACTAGGCCATCGGCGATCAAACGGTGTACATGTGGCTGTGTGCTAGAAAGGATGCCAATTCTATGAGCTGACTAAACCCTAAACCCTAAACCCTAAAAACTGACTAAACCAACGTGCATACTTGTCTTGGCAAGACGATGGCGTAGCAAGTGGCCGAGGAGAGTGGCCAGGCTGAAGCCAGCAGCCATGCAAGAGTTGTTTATAGTGTTTATATAAGGTACAGGGTTTAGGGTTCAGGGTTTAGGGCTTAGGTACAGGGTTCACGGTTTAGAGTTGAAGGTTTCGGGCTTCGGGTTCAAGGTTTGGGGTTTATCATAGAACCTGTGCCCTCAGCTTCATTCAGGATTAGGCTTCTTTCTTAATGCAACCTATTTAGCATTTATAAACCCTAAACCCTAAACCCAACACCCTAAACCCTAAACCGTTGCTCTCGACCATGACTATATGCACTGTCATTGCTGTAGTGGGCACTCTGCTGATGAGCGGATGATGAGCGACATCGCAAATCCACCTAAGCCCTAAACCCTAAAGCCTGAACCCGAAAGCCCCTGAACCCCGAAACCCTAAACCCCTGAACCCCTAAACCCCTAAACGCCTAAACGCCTAAACCCTAATCCTGACCTCAGTTTATCCTGAAACTCTCAGTTTATCCTGAAACTCTCAGCTTCAGCACCCCCTTGAAAACTTAGTCCCCCATATGATCTAACACTGAAGCCCTGAACCCGCTAACCTCGAAGCCACAGCTCTTCGACGGTAGCAATACCCGCTCTCGGGGCCTTTCAAATTAGAGCAGGTTTTTGTTTTTTTTTTCGAGGGGGGAGGTGTTATGGTAAAGTTCGAGAGGCACATTAAGTGGATACTCCTGCCCATATATTTCGTAGTCTAAAGCCGAAACCCTAGAACTACAACCGAAACCCTAATCAACCCCCGAAAGGACCCTCAAGCTACCTCGAAAGACACATCGTGACGCGTCACCCCTAAACCCTAAACCTCCCTAAACCCTAAACCCTAGACCCTAAACCTCCCTAAACCCGAACCCCTCAACCCTAAACCGCCTTGTCTGACCCTACACCACGACGTCTACCTCCATCCACGGTAACCTGAAACTTGTTACAAACTTCCATCGTGTTAATAACTGAAGACTACACTGGCTGCCACCCCCAAGAAACCCGTTAAACCTGATGCAAATCCTAATTCAAAACCTCCCAACCCACCGAGCCGTCAACGATGAACGCGAAACTCTCAGCCCACAACAGCCTAAACTCCAAACCCTGGTCAAGCCCTAGTGTAGAGGGCTGGCTAGTCGATTCGAACATCCCCTGATAGCTCCTATCTATTTTTATAATGTATGCCCCCGAAACCCTAGTCTTAAGGCCCCTCATACTATTAAACCACGCCAAACCCTATTCTTAAGGCCCCTCGCACTATTAAACCCCACAAAAACCATACAAAACACTGTAGAAGTCCACCATGGAACCCTCAACTTCAGACACCAAAGCCCAAACCATACAAAACACTGTAGACGCTTAGAAAGCTGTTGGTCTAAGAGAGCCTCAGAGGTCAGGGTGGGCCATGCCTCTTCCTCTATAAAGCAGATTTCTGGTTACAACGAGAACAAGGGTTTAGGGTTAAGGGGGGTTTAGGGTTTAGGGAGTTT